GATCATTTTATACACAGTTGTGAAAATAGTATCCTAGATTATAGAAATTCAATATTTTTTATTATTGTTTTCATGTTTGTATACAGTGTGATCATAATATCCTTCCAATGTGGACCATGCCTAAGTAAGAAATTCAATATTTTTGATTATTGTTTTCATGTTTGTATACAGTGTGATCATAATATCCTTCCAATGTGGACCATGGCTGAGTGATGACATCATAACTTTAACTCTTTTGACTTGCAATATGCATGTGATGCCATTACTTCATTCCTGGAAGTTCCTTCCATTTTCCTGCCCACTGCAGAGGGACTTTACAATCGCACTGTATAGCCTACAGATCATTGTGTTTGAAAGCAAAGTTGAAAACAAGTGTGGGTTATGCATTGGGGTGGATTATTTGCTGAGTTTAAATTGTAATTACAAATTTACTTTATTCCTATAGTTACAGAGTGGTAGGCCTACAGTGGGGTTAGTTATGCAAATGCTTTATTTTCACTCGAGCAGCTTTATGTGGTATTTATAGTGTATGTTGCTGTGTGTTATATACACAAAAATAAAATGATATAAATTTGCTAATGTTATATATAAAGAATTATTTTAGAAACAAAATTATTTCATACTTTAACTCTGATGAAGTAAGCTTCAAGATTAGTCAAAATCCAAAAATATTGCCAATGAACAGATTTAGAAGAGGACTATTTTTGTTTTTAATATATAAGTAGACTTTTTCTGATGAAAAATTGGATTATGCACAAAAACTCTTAATGTAATATATCAATATGTACTATAAATATGTAGCATGGAAAAGTTTTTGGCAAATAATTAATCTATCACACTGAAGAGAACATATATGCTCGCTAGAAACTCTCGAAATATACAAAGCTGGGTTACACAATAACTGCATCAACTCCAAGGATGTGATTAATATTTCTAATGCTTGGAAGCTCTATTATGAATATGAAGACCCCATTTAATCTGATCTCCACCGTTTTTTATGTGTGTGTAAAAAAATATATTGATATATTCTTTTGTTTGTATACACTATACTTAGTATGCACACGCTGTATGAATTTCTATACGCAACTGTTCTAAAAAAAGTTTAAATTTTCAAGCACAACTGCTATTCAAATCTCGGAACTTTTAACCTGAAGAAGACCAGAAACAACAGTCAAAAACGTTTGTAGTACTTTTAAATATTTTACTGGTGATTTAAAGGTTGGAAAGATTGGTGGGAGTTTATTATATATTATACCAGTACCTATAAACGAGTTTGGTTAAACTGTATACAAAGTTTTTGGAATTGTATTTTAAACTACAATGAAATTACAAAGCAAGATATCACCAAAAATAAAACTGTAAGAGAAACGACTTCCAACAACTTAACACTGCGTTGAATACTAAAGCCATCAGGGGGGCAACTGCATCAACTTCAAGGATGGGGAAACGCTTGCACAGGCGTGGAAGTATTTGTTCGAGGAATTCGAACAGTGTCAGTCGGAGGGGTGAAACCTGATGCGCACATTTATTTATTTACATCGTTGGCAACATCGTTACGACGATCGGGTCGAAACAGCCAGTCACAACCTGAAGCAGACCTTGGTGGAGGTCGAAAGTACTTGTGGAATTTACTAGTGACATAACAAGGTTTATCGTGGATTGTTATAAAACTGTAAGAATTATTTACCAGAAAAAAGAATTGCTGATCGGAAAAAAATATATAAGATGAAAGATAATGGTAGTAAAATTTTTGCTTAAGATATTGCTATTAATTTTACAATGTGTTAAATTAGAGTAAAAAGAAGACAAGAAAAATAAAGCAAAGATGTTATATTGAAACTGAGAATTATTGCAGAGAAAAAAGATATTGCTCAAGATTTGTAGTAAAGATAATGAACATATGTAATAGTTTTATACTATCTATAAGAATTTTACTTATAACAAAAAGTAATATGAAGAAAATTATCAAAATATTCTGTGTTCATTTTATTTAATTATATAAACTAGTACAGTTTATATAGTTAACTGCAGAAAGTTTAATTTATAAACCTGTGTTATTTTTCACATGAAAAAATTTAGGAAGTAAAAAAGTTCGAAAAGTAGTAGTGAAAAATTGATTATATACACAAGCACAAACATCAATGACGATGTTCAACAAATACAGTTGAACCCACTCCTTGTAATCACGACCAATGTCATTTAATATTATCAAAATTTGCAGGTTTCGGAATATAAAAGTTAAAATACATTAAAAAAGCTATTCACTGTAATCATAATTTTTCTTTTTGTTTTTGATTAAACAGATATTTTACAGCTCTTTTCATGCTGTCAACCTGACATGTGGCTGATGGCATACAGTTGTTTTCAGTTATTGTTATCAGTCTTATCCAGTGCTTTAAATGTTAATTGTTTTAATCATTATTTGTTCACAATACAGTAGTTTAAATTACTAATAATACTGTATATGTTGTTAAAGGCATTAGCAAACAAATAATACTGGATGAATTATATATTAATTAATTGTAATCATTAATAAACTTTAATTTATACATTTTCTAATTGTTTTAGCATACCATTTTAATCTTAATTACTATTTCCTTTAATTATACTAGTATTTACTTATATATTCTGTTTAATGTTGTCAATTATTATCATCAGTTTAGACAAGTTATTTGATAAGCAAAGCCAATTGCATTAGCATAAAAAACAGAATTAAAAGCAAAGAAAATGTGTAATGAATTAAATTTACACTTACCTTCAGGAAATTATCACAGTCTTCTAAAGTTGAGTCAGTATGTTCTCAAATATATTTAAAAATAAATTTTTGTTTTTGCTCCATTTGCTTAACAAGATTATTTTTCATAATGCATAAAAAGTTTTGAGTTTAAAAACTACAAAACTACATTCTATTAATATTTCTTGCACTTGTATACTTTTTATGTGGTAATAATCTTCACATATATATTTTGTTAATGCATAATTTATGTAAGGTACAGTACTCTTTACATATTTCAGAGAAAAAACTTGATAAGAAATGAATTGGTAAAACTGCACATTAAATAGCGATTGATGATATATGTGCACTTTTACTTATAGGAAGTGGATTTTCTCTTAAATATTTTCTGTGGCCAACATTTTTCACTTAAATTCCTGACAAAGAGAAGTAACTTCTCTGTATGAAAATGTTTTATCCTTTATGAATATTAAATAAAATGTGAAAAATATTTCAACAATGTCTTTTGTCTCAAGAAGAAAAAAAATTTTAAAATAGATATATTTTTTCCCTCTTTTCTATATTTTAATATTATATATGCAATCATATTGTTATTACCAATTACAGACTTGAAAAATTTGATTTGCATGAAAGTAATTATGATTAAGGAATTTTTACAGATTAAATAACATATACCGCTATTGGTTTATATAATAAAATGCACAAACTTTTATATTCAAGTAGTTTAACATTTAAAATTTGATATATAATTATATTAATTAATAAAGATTTATCATTATTCATTCTTTTAATAGGAATTCACACATGCAAAAAAAGAAAGCAACTGATAAAGCATTAATCAGCAAATTTAAAAAAAGAATAATTGATGATATTAAGATTGTTTTCAAATTTATAATTCTGAATGCATGTATATATCAATTTCTATTTGCATTTTGCTTATGTCAGAATAAAAAATATTGAATAACATATTTATAGATCTGTGATTTTGTTCTTGAGAATCATATAATGTGTTTTTGTTTTATAGAACAAAACAGATAAATCAGGTTATATTAGACAAACACCTAAATAAATAGATACTGTATAAGTCTAATTCATTGTAGTATAGTGGTTATTGTATAATAAATATGGATTGAATGAAAAGCTATTTAGTATTATTTTCATTTCTGCTCAAGAAGTTTTCAAATTGATACCTTGAGAAACTTTTTAACTGAGTTCTATTATATTTGGATCACCAGAATCTGTATTTAATCATTACATTAATTAACTTTACTAGTTGTGATGAAAATAGAATTATAAAAAAAATTCTAAATTATTATATTTAATAATAGGTGCAAAGAGTTTTATAACATTCTATGTGGAAATTATTTTGTTAAAAATCATATATATTTATATATTGGTGACCTGGACTGACCACACACACTTTTTAAAATGAAGGGAAGTGTGTTTCATCAAAAATTTTAAAAATTTTGTTAAGAATTCTTCAAAAGTGTGATAAGTTCTTGTCATAGGCTTATTACAAGCTGTTGCAATGCTTTTTCAGCTGACTGAATATTCAGTAAATTTTATGCTTGTATTTACAATTTCACTTAAGAGAGAAGCACTTGATAGGGAGAAATGGAGGAAACTTATTAGAGAAGGAAATGCCTACCCCATATAAACATGGGAAAAGCAAGGATAAAGAAAGAAGAATTTACATTTTCACTTCAAATAAGTTACTTTTAGTTAAATACATATCAAAGATGTCATACTATGTAGTTATGTCTTCTGAAGTTCTTTGAGCAACAAATTTTTTGTTGAGTAGAGTAGATGCTTGCATCAGTGAGAACAGTGCTCAGTTTGAACATTTTGATTGAACAATAGTTAGAATCAGCACACAGACAAAAATACTAGGTAAAAGTAATAATAATTTCTTTAGTGCAACATCAATTACATAATAAAAATGTTGGTACAATAATCACATGTAATTTTAGTTTAGAGAAATGAAGAATTAAAAATTTTAAACAAACATATTTAAAGAATTTTATTATGAAAATGTATAATAATCTTTTTAACAAATTTTTGAAATATTTGATTTTGGACTATCATTCAATTTAATAGTGAATTTGCATATAACAAAACAAATCTGTTAAGCATTAGCACTTGTATTTAAGTATTTTTCAATGACTAAGGTAAAGAACTTTTTTTGGAATCAAAATGTATATTCTTATTTCATTGTTCATAAACTTCAATTGAAGTTATGTCTGCAAATAATCAGATTAAGTTAATTTACGTAAATCAATTTAATAATTTAACAACTTAATACCATTTAAATAGGCGATTGTTATTAAATATGTGAGTAGAGTTCAGTTTAATCTGACATTTAGTAAAGAATGAAAAGAAAAAATATAATGATGTAATTAACTTAAATGTGATTGGGCAACAAAAACCATTGGCAATAATTGATTTATTCATAATGTGAATAGATCTAATGATTTAGAAATTAAAATTATATAAAAATGAAATGTTTACAAATTAATGAATTACTGTACATATATCTTTCTTAACAGTTAGAAGTAATATTTACTCTTCAGTTTGAAAATGAAATGTTTGTTTTTTGTTTCAGACTAGGCATTTAATTTTTAAAATTTTATTAAAAAATTTCTACTCATATACCTGAAGAGGGCCAATCAAGAGGCCAAAAAATGTTTGTTTTTTAAGAAAATAATTGCTGAAAGAAGTATTAAATCACTAGGTAAATTGTTAAAATTTAATGATCACTTTAATTTTTTTTCTTTATGTATATAATTCAAGTGGATCATAAATGGTATGAAAGAGTAAAAAAAGTCAGAAAGTAATAAGGAAAAAATTATTTCTCTTTATCAGTCTTTGCAACATTAATACACTTGTCTCATGAATGTCATAGATGCTGAAAACCTTATAGTATAAAATCATTCAGTTGCTGTCTCAGTCACTATCATATCTCAGTTTTCTTATCATTGAAATGTTTGCTAGCAAAGGTTTTAGTTGATGAAATAAATAAAAATTATTTGGAGAAAAATCAGGACTATTGGATAGATAAGCAAGAGTTTTTCAGTTGAGTTTTTAAACTATCTTCTTGTTTTGTGAACTGTAGGAATTTTAGTATTATCACACAAAAATAGTGTCCCTCATGTCATTAGTTAATAATTTTTCTTCACATTACATTTCTGAACTTTTTCATTACATGTGCATTGATAAGGACATTTTTATGGTGTTTCTGAAAGTGAGCAAGTATGTTTATTAAATCATGATAATATGTTGTAAAGGAAACATATTATCATGATTTAATAAACAGTTCTCAGATATAGGTGTAATTCTTAGGTGTAGATGTAGATATAATTATAAATTACTAAAAACAGCCATATGTCATGCACATGTGCATCTGGAAATTATTGAAATGATGCAGTTTATTGTTTTGTACTCTATATTCTGAATGTCTGTTTTTCATTTTTCTAATTTAATTTGTGACATATATAATGAATATCCCTTTGTATTATTATTCCTAAATATGTTTTTGTCTATCTTTCTATCTCCCTGCTTATAGATGATTCTATTCCTTTACTTTTGTCTGTAAATTCTGAATTTTATTAATTTTTTGTTAAAATTCTTTTGAAATAAAATCTGTAAACAATTCATAAACAAAATTTAAAATCCTGTTTTCATATTAAATATAATTTTTATTCTATAATCTTTTTTGGAATAAGAATGAAGTGGATGTTATTAGTCTACATACATGAAAGAAAATAGTTTCATGTTCATCATGTGGTTAAACACAATATAAATAGAATTATATTAGATAATTGTAAGATATGTTTAAACCAGTGATTCCCAAACTTTTTCGATCCACCGCCCCCTATGTTCCGTAAAGTTATACCCAACGCCCCCTAACTCATTTTCTCTTGTGTGAGAAAAGGATTGGAAATATTCTTAGGAAAACTTTTCTATGAATCTCACACTTTGTGCCCTTACTGTACATTGTTCTCAACATCTGGAAATCATTAAATGCAATGTTTCCTCTTATCAGCCCCAATTTTGCCTTTGGTCACCGTTCAATACCCTGCCTCCAGCGCCTCCTAGATCTACTCATTGCCCAGAAGGGGGCGTTATTGCCCACTTTGAGAAATGCTGAGCTAAAATATAAGTCAATGTGTTAGAAATATTCAAGTTGTGACCTTCAGTAAAAAATAAAAAATATATAAAATGTCAACATTTTATATATATTCCGTCGAATTTTTATATATAGAATTTGTCTGCCGTCGCCCCTCTAGATTTCCTTAATGCCCCCCAATTCTCTTTGAGCTTTCTACTGCCCCCCTGAAAGCCTCCAGCGCCCACAAGGGGGCATTATCGCCCACTTTGAGAAACGCTGGTTTAAACTGTTATAATCTATTTAAAATTTCCAAAGTTTTTGAATGAAAAATGAGATTTTAAAAAACAAAAGATTCACATATGTAATATTTGAATTTTCATTGCTTAGCTATGGTGGCACAGTGATACATATTCAATATTTATTACATTCTCCATTCTCATTCTGGAAGATAATATAGTTATAGGTTTTGGTAAGTCTACTGTATTCTGCAGCTTTTTTGTAGAAATTTCCATGTATTTTGCATAATATATGTGTGAAGAATGTGGGACATACATAGAAAAGTGTTTACAAATACAGAAAGTATACATGTATAGAATATGCATACGTTCTGGTTTTTTTTTTGGTTTTATTTTTAATTTTAGATTAAAAAAAATATGACTTTTTTAAATATTGAAACTTTTTTTTATGAAATTTTATATATACTTTAGTAAAAATATTTCACCATTTTCAAATGATATCAAGTGATATCATGTCTGAATTGATTTTTGGACAGTTTCAAATGACCAAATAACATGATACTTCATTACATGTGATATTATTTCATCTCTTTTGAAACTGTCTGAAAATCATTTCAGACATGTTATCACTTGACATCATTTCTGTAATGGTTTCTAACTGATTTTAAAATGACATCAAGTGCATTGTTAAACAGTTATAAAAACTGTAAATCATATAAATAACCAATCCTTGAAGAACCTTTATGTCTGGTAACAAAAAAATTTTTAATAAATCGGCATTCTGAATTTGGAATTCGATCGTACTCTAACCTGATGCAGACCTTGAGCAAGGTCGAAAGTGTTTGTTCGACAATTTATTAAACGTTTTTTGTTACTTGACATAAAGGTTCTTCAAGGGTTGTCATTAGAACCAGTAATTAAGTTGGAAGATATCTTTATCATATAAATAACCTCTATTTAACTGGAGAAACAATAGACTTAATTAAAATACCCAAACTCCAGCAGTAACATGTGATATTAGCTTCAGAACTAATGTTTTTGGAGTTCTTATGCCTCCATCTTCAGGTTCTGCAGAATTCAAACATAGAACCAAAATTTTTTTTGGACATGTGATGATATTTGTATCAAACGTTTTTTAAAAAGATGAACTTCACATGCTGTTTAAAATTTAGCACTTGTTAAAAAGAACAATAGTAACATATAAGTACTAAATTTTAAACAGCATGTGAAGTTCATCTTTTTAAAAAATGATACAAACATCATCATACATCTGAAAAAATTGTCCTATGTTCAAATGACTGCAGAACCTGAAGATAGAGGCATAAGAACTCTTAAAACATGTGATATTAGCATCAGAACTAGTTACTTCTGGAGTTTGGGTATTTTAAGTAAGAAATCATAAATCTTTAATTAACAATGAAATGTTTTTCAACATATTTTCAAAAGCTTCTGGATATGATGTCATCTAATATCAAATGAAATCAAGTGAATTCAATTACAACATATCACTTGACGTTAGTTGATGTCAAAGGTTGAAAAATTTAAAACATATATCACTTATTCTTGTCTGTTAAAATGTTTTATCATTTGACATCAAGTGTTGCCAGCTGTTGAGATATGATATGACAATATTGATTCATCTAATGTTCTGACAACTGAAATCAAGTCCTATCATTTGCCAAATACAGCATGTCAAGAGGTGTTATTACATATCATATACTGACAACTGACATCATGTCATTTCATTTGAAATCATATGCTATTAACATATGATTTCAAATGATATTTTTAATAGGATAAATAAAGAATACAACATTTATTCATATAGCTTCAATTGCCTTTTTAGAGTTTATATTTTTTATTATTCATAGCACTTCTAGGTTCCTGTAAACAATTATTACTGCAAGTATAATTTTTCATGATCATACAGTTTTTGTTTATTTATTTACTGTGAATATCTTTTGACTGGTTTAAAAAATCCAAAAGCACTAGAGATAATGAGATATTAATTCCAAACAAAGAGAAGAAGTTGTTACTGAAACTTTTTACATTATAATTTGAATAATTATAATTTAAACATACTTTTATAACTGTTTTCTCATCTATTATTAAAATTTTTGATCCCAGAGAAGCCCTATTTTGCATTAACATTATAAACTTTCAGTAAAACAAGCATAATACTTTGGTAGTTCAGAAAATGAAGTCAATCTGTAATGCAGATAGTTGTATTGAAGGGTTTTTATAAGAGGGGAGTGAGTATTTAATGTTTCCTATGACTTCACAATGAATTTTAGCTGGCTCTGTCTTATCAAAAATTGTATCACACATATACATCAATCTTCAACTACATATTTGTATGGATAACCAGATAAAAGCACACATGAAAATTTTTCTTCTTTAGGTGTCTTCTCCTGTCAGGAGGTTGATGCCACCATGATATATCTTGTGCTTCTCTTGAGCAATCTTCGTACATTAGGTATGTCCAATTCCTGTTATTGAATCAGTTCATTCTTGGCTTACCTCTGCTCTGCTCTTTACCCTTCAATCATTCCCTCCAGTAATAGTTTTTGTAGGCTTTGGTGTTGCAGTACATGTTACAGATAACTCACTTTTCTTTTCCTTACTACTTCTAATAAGGTTATTTTATGATTTGCAGTTGCCAGGATATCTTCATTTGTTCTTCCTGCCCTCCAAGGAACTCTCAGCATTCTTCGAATCATCTACATTTCAAATGCCTTTACACAAAAAAATCCTGTCATATATGTNTTGGCTTTAATTTGAGTATGTTTTTCGCGTTGGAACGAATTATTTGGTTTTACATGTAATCGTATGGGAAACGATGATCCACCTTACGACATTTTCATGATACGATCTCAGTTTCGGAACGGATTAATTTCGTATCCTGAGGTACCACTGTATAAGTTATGAATGAACATACTGCTATAAAAATTTAGGTACAGTTTTTACTCTTTCATAACTTATATGAGATTTTTCTGAAAGTTATATACATAAAAAAGTAATGAAAGTGTATAAATAAATAAAATTTTAGGGTTTAGTAAGAATATGCATAAGTTTTACTGTGACATTCATTTATCAATGTGTAAAACATAAATGAAAGTTTACTTTGAATATTAAGAAAAGAAATTCATGATACTTAGTGCAATAACTTAAAATTATTTCAATTATTATTTCTTTAGAAGTTATATAAAATAATTATAGGAAACTACTGTATTCTTGTGCATCTCTATATGTGGGATAACAATTGTGGCATTCATTGTCATTTGTTTCTTGATATAACATTTGTCTCTGCAATTTATGAATTTCCTCTCTAATTCTGGAAAAAATTTATTATTATTAAAAAGCTGTTGTTTTTATTATTAGTTAAGT